ATATAAGAAATAAAATATGAAAGAAATTTGCTAACTTAGTGTTTTTATCCTCATATTAATTTGGCTGCATGCACTTTCTGTCTTACAACTATGAATCGAAAGAGAGTCATTTGATAACTAACCCGCATTATGTCACATTAAACCTGCAATGAGGTTAGCTGTTGTTAAATCACCGTTCAGATTGTAAGCAAAGCCATCATCTTTATGACCCTTTGTTGAAGTGCGCACTTATTTTTTTTTCCTCCTTTATTGTGATTTCCTTTTTCTTCCACTAACGTATGGACTTTTCACTAATACCAAACATCCTTGCTGCAGCACGATTGCCATGTTCTTTCGCAAATTAAATAGCTTTGCATTTTGAATCTACCACCATGTTTGTTTCTTTTGGCAGGATCAGTATTTATTACTAAAAGGAACACTGGATCGACTGCATTTCAGATAAAGCAAATAGGATTTACTAAAGCTTTCTATTTTCACTTCAAAATGGCGGCTTCAAGTGACTATAGACAGAGAAAACATCTGATTCTTTATTCCGCGAATTTATTCGGGTGGGAGGTACATTCGTATTCCAAATTATTTCCCCATCTTTTTCGAAACCCTAGAATAACATTCTTGTACAAGCCTGCACTGAATACAACCCATCATCCCTGCAGAATTATTTACTCTCTCTGTCATTTTCGCTACACACATATTGTTCTCGTTATCGCTCGTCAATTCAGTATACCCTAGTTCGAAAGCCTGTGAGAAACAGAAGATAACAGATCTTCAGAAGATAACAGAATCACACAGTATCTTTGTAACGAAAAGGGTGCGCGTTATATGGTGAATGTACCAAAATTTTAATATATATATAATTTGAAATTACAGATGCGCGTGATACGCCGAATAATAATATACGTTTATAATTACCGCAATATACGGTAATTATAAACATATCTCCCACAAAATGAACGTCGAACACAGCCTCTCCATTATGCAAAAATTCTTGAAAATCAGAACAGCTATAAAAAGTTAAATCGGAAGCAAATGGTTAATATTTAATAAGTTTAAGGAAATCAGGACGCGAAGTGAACAGCGGAAATACTGAAATCAGACAAAGATATCATACCTGATAAAACACCTAAAGTACATCGGTAATTTCAGAAGAAATGAACATTATTGATGTTTTGAATGTTGCGTTAATGAAAGCCTACGGATAGCATCGCCAATGATATTAACAACAGGCATTATAGCAAGAGTAACTTTCAGATCTGTCACTTCCTTCCTGCTTTCCTTCCATGAAATGAAATCTCTTTTCCAAGAACTTCTCCCGCTCTTTGCAGTTTAGTAGAAGTTAAATATTTGCTTCGGCGCGTAATTAAATTTTATAAATTATTTCTTTGCATCTGGAAAATTATCGGCAGCTTTTATGTTAGGCAAAGGATTTTAGTCTCTAATTTATGAAGCTTCCTTAACTTCAAAAATCGATCATAACAACGATAAGTGCCTTAAAATTCCACTTTCGCAGTATTTTAATCATCATCGTCATGTGCTTTCTATTTCAGCTTATTAAAAGGATTGGCTGATAACTTAACGGAACTTCGGTTGTACATTTAACAATCCACTCAAGTAATAGATTTTTCCATTTTATCCATTACTGAACGCCGACTAAAAGAGGTCTTTCGGTTAGCAGAACCAATACTAAAATTGGCAGCTTTTAAGATATTTTCCCTGTGTAAATAATACGATTAGAAGGCGCAGGCAACACGTTCAGAAAGATCTTGATTTCCTTTCTCATTATCGAAAGATTAACTGCTTAAGTTTTATGTTAAGCATAATCATCGTACAAACTACCTTTTCTGATATTTGGGACATATTTAATGGATGAGCGAAATACATTCAGATTATGCTCAGGTGTTTATAAACGAGCTTAACTGGTTCTTGATCTTGAATGCCATTCTAGAAAGAAAACCTGCATTGCGTTTCCAGCACCTGGCGTGAGCGTATTTGCAGTCTGTCTTACTAAAAAAGAAGCAATAAATATAAATACTTTCATCCTTCGCCTCTTTTCGTAGAAACGTAAATGTGTTTGGTTTGGGTGACTTCTTTGGATGACTTCGATTAAGCCAAAAGCAAACTAATGCAAGCTTTTGTAGAAACATCGTGATTTAAAGTGGAGTATACAAAGTATACCAAAAAGATAAATTGAGCTTTATTTGTTTAGATAATCTTAGATGTAAACTTCAAACTTTAATGTTTCTTTCTATAAGATCTGTCTTTTTATGAAAACATTTTAATGCTGTGATTGGGGATGGTTATGTAATGTTTAGCTTTTTGCATGAATTATGCAGAATTAAAATTCCAATTACATGACATTTAACTATACTTTAGATTCATTAAAAATGAAACGTATTATACTTTTAACATAATAAATTTCCGGTTGTAATCTGAAACGGACTGACCCACTTAAGTAGATTTTCCCCATGGTTTTCAACTTATATTCATGATACTTCAGGAAAATTTAGGAAGCAAATACAAAACGAAACCTCCTCGCTTCGGTTTGGTTTGTTCTATTTGATTACGGCAAAGGCTCCAGGGCTATCTGACTAAGGGGAGGGATGCCTTCGTAGAGGACTTTCTAAGAGAACCTGGCTCGTATACACGTTATTCATGAGGAAAACAACGAAAACGCTCATGCAGCCAGCCCTTTCGTTGGATTTGAATCTCGGACCGAACTACCAGTACTCAGCGAGATTACTGCTCGGCCGCTGGTGGGTCTTGCTCGCTTCGGATTTTAATACTTCCAACTTTGGTAACCAGAATTCTTCACTCAATTCCATTTAATCCTCTTCGTATTTGGCGAAATTATTTACGAATCATACTTGAATGAATTTTGCAAAGAGGGATATGGAGAGTATTTTTTAATTGATGAAGCTTGATAAGTGACCTGTTACTTAAAATTTATCATATGAGGATCAAGAACTGCTTTATATTTTCTTTAGCCTCCCAACCGGGATAGTAATTAGCGACACTGACTGCCGGATCGAAGGTTCCGAGTTTGAATGCTAGAGAAGGCACAGATGTTTATAAATATGTAGTATCTGCGCAGCATGAGGGCATTATAACTATGCGGAGAGCCGAAAGTCTTCTGGAGAGGTTGATGGTAGGGGAAGAATCTCGGACCTGTCCCCCTCCTGGGGTGCTCTTCTTCGAAATTGAGGCGGAATTGAGCAAAATCGTACTATTCACCTGTATAATGCTCAAGGCTCTTGCTAGCCACAAGCGCAATCTTACATTCCTTGCCACGATGAATTTCGTAGACTTGCTCGGATATTATTGTGAGATAAATGAGATAAGTAGCAACAAAGAAAAAATAGGTTTTCTTTAACAAAACCCTTCTCAACGTTGAGACTGTTTGATAAAATTATGTGAAAATGTCTATATGTCTAGTATCAAAAACAGATACATGCATTAATAAGTTCAAAACGAGGTAAAGCATTTCATAGAAAAGTTTTCAGCTGCCGATGGGAAGAATTTCATAAATGTAGAAACTAATCTTCTATATCGTCATCATAGAGTAAACGTGCGATAGTTAGTAAAATGTCCATTATTAAGCAAAGTAAATTTAAAATATTTCATATCACTTTGTTGTACAAAATACTATGAAGTATGTACAAATTAATGTTTTAGGAGTGCAGTAACAAATACAGTGACAGGTCCTGTTTATCCAGATCAGAATGCTTAGCATTTATTTTCTTGTGTTTTCCTAATTTTGACAAAAAAAAGTAATGATATAATAATGAAAAAGATATTGAAACGCGAATTAATGACACACATGTTGTTAGAGAGTTTTTTGATAGCTTTTGAATGTGAAAGTGTTTTTTTTTTTTTTTTAGATTAAGGGAAGTCATACACCTTAAAACCCAGAAGATCTTCGATTATGTGACTGTTGCAAGAATTGGGATAACTTATTTATTTTAAAAGCAATTACTTCCAACTTTTTACAGCTGACTACATAATACAGCTGCTTTCTGAAATAGTAATCACAAAGTTTGCGTCGCCACAAATATTTTTATAATTTAATCCGGTTTCTGACAAAACGTTTCGTCATGTTTCTACCTTGCGAGAACAGTTTAAAACATTCTGTCGCATAATTTAATTCTATATTTAATATATAGCTTTTATAAAATTTGTAAATTGCTGTGAACCAAGAATCATAAAGAATTTCATGTTATTTTTTTATTTTATTTGAAGTTGAGTTTAAAAAATGTATTTTATTAAAAATCTGTAATGATTACGTGCATAACATTTTTAATATTAAAATATTCATCCGATTTTGGGTTCAGTTAGAAGGTAGTGTCCATATAAAGAATTCCATCAAATTTTAAATATGCACCATTAGCCATTTTTAAAATATCAAGCGCGCAAGGTGGAAACAGGACGAAAGATTTTGTCACAAATCGGATTAAATTACAAAAATATTTGCGCCAACACAAACTTTCTGGTTACTAGTTTCCAAAGCAGCTGTATTATGTAGTCAGCTGTAAAAAGTTGGAAATATTTGCTTTTAAAATAAATAAAATATCTCACTTCTTGCAACAGTCACATATTCGAAGTTTTATAATTTTGTGTGAATGCCAGGGATACCACTCTGCTTGTCTATGTTACACATCAAGTGTCCCTGCGTCAACAGTCGCTACCAGTATACTGTTTACAGAGCAAGCTGTTTGAATATTTTCTGCAGATATTACTAGCGTCTAATTCCACTTTTTTAAAGTACGGTTGGATAATTACGCACATATATAAATAGATGATGCACATATACATCCAATATGTATATAGAATGGGCATATTTATTATTAGCATACCTTACAGAAAGTCTTAGTGAGCTATTTAGGTAGAGTTAAAGCTGAAGATCAGAAGTTTCAATATATTCAACTTTTTACCATTACGAATCTTGAAAGTATTTATTTATCACCTAATATTGTTATATTTAAAATATTGTTTGATGTGAATTTTAGTGCCGGCTCATTTTAAAGAAGAATTCATGGCGGAAACCGTTCGAAGGGGAGAAAAAGTTGTAGTAAAATGCCAAGCATTTGGAGACAGACCACTTACTGTCACATGGAAGAAAGACGGTCAGCTTTTGGATAAACAGGCCGAAAAAAAGTAAGCTAACTTTTACCTATTAACACGACTGACATAAATTTGGTTTAAATCATTTGTTAATAAAATTGACATAAACGTATTTTATCCAAAAGTTCTTAAATATTTAGGCATATGACCATTTTGTTTAACAAGAAATTTCCTAAATGATTGTCACTATTTTATTAAACTCTTACAATTCCTTAATTTAATAAAATAGTGATAATTATTCTACGATATGTAATTCTATTACTGTTTTATTTACTACAGTTAATTTGGATTGACATTTCCTCATCAGTGATTAAAATGACCGAAATAAATATGAACATATTACTTGTTTTTAGATTCTTAATTTTGCTATGAATTTACAAGTATCCATTTGAATATTGTAAATGCCCAGGAAAAGGTTTACTTATTTTTAAGATGAACAAAGCTACGAACATTTGTAAGATGAATTATAACAGTTGTAGGATGACTAAAGCTCAGATGCATAAAATGCAATGTATTTATTTTATAATTATATTTCATATGTTTACTTACTTACGCATTCCAAACATCACAAAAGGTAAGATATACTCAACATATATTTATATAAACATCAATAATTTAAAAATAAGGGCAAGCGTATTAGTTTTCTTTACGCATAAAAAAATTACGACAGTGTCTTTTCTGAAATGTTAATTATACGGAGAGCAAAAAAATAATCTACGAAATATAATCGAAGATTTAGACTGCAGTCAATGAACAACCTTAAGAAATTACTGTCAGAAATTTACACTTTTACATTTATTTCTGCACTATTCGTACCTAGTAGTATATTTACTTCAGTTCAATTACATGTAAGCGAATGGCATTAGACATGGTATTAAACAGAGAAAAGATAACATTTTGTAAAAGATATATAATGATGTATATAGAGAGTCTGAAATAGCAACTACCAGGTCTTTTACAGAGCTAAGCTTCGGCTTCGAAGATTTTTTAAATTAAAGGGTTCCTTATAATAAAATGGTTTTACTTATCCAATCATGGATAAACTGTCGCTTTTATCTTTAGGTCTGAAATGAATCTGTAACCTGTCAATACATTCTTAATTGGGCCAAACATATAAATATCTAACGGTGCAAGATATGCAAGATATCCTACACAGATTATGTGTAGGATACTCCAATAGATCAAATTTCGTTTCTATTCATCCTTAATAAGTTGCTTCAAAGCTCGCCTGACACAAATCTTAAGATACCCGAAACTGTTATGAACAGTCTGTAGAGACTTTAGGTATTTTTTTGAAGCAGGCAAGATGTAAAATTAGCAACCGCCTTCGCCGGGAATCGAACCACGGACCTCTGAAATACCGGCCCAGCATGCAGAACCACTACACCACGAAGGTACGGCAAGAACGTGAAGAAATATCTTATAAGTCTGGAAAAAACGGCGCCTAATTTGTTACAGATTCGCCACAAGATCGATGGTTATTCGTCGGTTTCTGAGAATCATGGTACGTAGTTGTCCAATGTTCTAATCTTTTGGGCTTGATTACGTAGCTTCATTTTTCATGGGTTGTGAAGCATTACGCCTTGTAATCCTCCAGACGAGTTAGGTTATTGAGAAGATACAGAAATACTAATTCTAGATGAAATTGTTCCTTTATATAATAATAAGCATTTTTTATGGGAGTTGTTTACCCTGTTGCAGCTCTAACAGTAACAGTAATTGGCAATAACGCGGCAAACTGTTACGGTTCCTGAGACAGTCGATACTATGAAACAAAAAATGGCACGAATTCCGAATTCGACTAACCAGTGTTCATCAGATGACGTATAAGATGGAAGTCGTTTATGATAGAAAGTCTCAGATTTCACATCGCGTTTGCCAGTAAAAGGCTGCAAATATTGCGGAATGCGGCCCAATTTATAAACCTGGTTGTGGATCACAATGAAATACGTACTTAGCATTTTGATTTCTCTAGGAAGTTTCAAGGCAATTGTCGTTGAGATGTCAGATAACTTTCCTTCGTAAATAAAAATTGAGTATAAAGTAAAAGATGAATCTAAACAGACACGAGTCACAGAAAGGTGTTCAAGCAAACCTGCTTAAAATTGTTTGACATATAGTAAAGCTTCTTAAAAAATAGTAATTTCAAAGATATTGCTGAAAACATTTCATTAAAGGAATCTGAGATCATAGGTAACCGAGTTAACAGAAAATATTATTTTATTACGTGTTCTGTTATGCATATGCAAAAATAATTTCAAAAGTAGCTTTCCAAATGCCTAAATATATTTTACTGCACTGCCAGTTTCGGTATCGAATTTAGAAAGGAGATATTCAATTCAAAACATATAAAAATAATATGCTTCTTTCACGATAGCTAGCGAATTTCTGATACTCAAGCATTAATGCCAACGATATTCAGAGAGCATGAAATTGCATCTGCAGCAGCTATAAATGAATGAATTAATTTTTTAAAGCCTGGAAAAAGGTTTTCATGATTTTTGAATTAAAGAAAAATTTTTGGACTTTTCTTAGAAATACTAGTAGGAGCAATTATATTATCATTCAAATATATTAGTTTCACAATGTCCTTAATAATATTAATTTTATAAAAATTTGCATGTGAGTTCTATATTTGTGCTAGTCTGAATATGAATATTATATACACAAACCATTTTCTGGTAAAGTTTCAAATTTTATCTTCCTGAGAACGTCAGATATTTTTGCGACATTCTTGACATTCGCTTAAAAATTACCAATAATCTTTTCTAGGAAGTTAAAATCTGAAGAAAATTTAGAAATGTTTAAAGTAATATTGCATTTAGTTCAAATTATTGAAAACTGGGATTTTTTTTAGTTAATACTTTTTTATGCTATTAAATCACTTTTCAGCTCTTGCATATTAGAAGTCTTCATTGGCTTCAGAATTTTGAGCATTATATAGCAATTGTGATGTTTTACAGCATTATACATCAATCGATTTTTAAGTATACTTTGCAACGTATACTTACAATGGACATACAGAGAAAACCTTTAAGACAGCTAAGCGTACAATACTATGGCTGGCATAGTAGGTCATAAATTCGAAGATATATTTTTACATATGTATTTGTTTTAAATAATGTTTTCCTGAAATTGTCGTAAAAGAAGTTGTGCGATTGTAGTTCTTCTAATCATTGCTATGCAGAGGAAAATTATTTTTATAATAATTGGCTCTTCAGAACAAAAGAAGAAGTAATCATGTCCTCACGCATTTTACAGAAAACTAGCTGTTTTCTCTAAGGCAAAGAATTTCCTTCATTAATCTCTAAAAGCTTATATTCCAAACAAAGATGCTATGCTAGAATATTAAACATTTTAAATGTAAAATCAAGAGAAATTTCAATAATTCGCAGTATTTAGGCTTTCAGCAAAGTAATACAGTTAAATGAAACATTGCGTGGTACCATGTATCTCTGAAACATGCAGATAAAATTACATTAAGAATAATATAACTCCTTATAGAAATAAATATTGAAATTACTTTGGAATGTATTACTTTGGATTGTAACGTATTACTGTGTAATCGTTTTTCATCACAGTCACATGTATACTCACTAGAAAAGACCTGGCCGTAAATGTCCTAATGTGGCTTATTTTCGCAGATGTTAATCGTCAGCATATACTTCCAGGTTTTAACTAACACAAATATTCGCGTTTCGGATTTTTAAATTTTAAAAATTCATTTTGTAAAAACTATAAAACTATATAATCTATTCGTACAAAAATTTAGGTTTCATAATTCATACTTCCGGTCCCTATAGTTGTATTTAGTAAATATGTTAGAATAAATTAGTGTCACTTCTATATAATAAAACTCGGCAACGTCAAAAACAAAAGAGCGCCAAACGATATATTGACGAGAAAAAATTATATCGTTGGTTCACATGCAGAAGTATTAAAAAGATTTTGTGCTTCATTCTTTTTAGCATGCTACCTTCTTTTATAAAATATACTCCCGATAATATTGCCTAATAGGTAAGTCTGACTCTATTTAAAACTTGTAAACGAATCTCTTGTAAGTTCTTCATTTCAACACCTCGATTTAAATGTTTGTAAAGACTGTTCATTTTGATATTCTATTTGAGTTCTATCTGAGTTAAGCAAACTCTCTAACTTGTTAAAAACAGATTTCATTGTTATTCTAACTTAAGATTCTGTAATAAAACTGTGCTAAATAGATAATAGTGTTCTCAAACTTCTTAAGTGTGTTTAATGAACGGCATACCAAAAGTTTACACTGATTGTACAAAATAAAACTCAGAACGTTTGTTAGCGAACGTTTGTTCGCTAAGCATTTGCCATTTAATTTAAAGGAGACAAATTTATTACGAAAATTAGCATACTATACATATAACTAGCACGGCATACGTATAACTACTATATCTTTTAATGATTGGTCAGGTGTTCCATTTAGCATATTCATTTATCATGCATTTGTTCGTTATTTTTAAAAAACGGCTGTCACGACTGTTTTGACAGCTGTGATTAATCTGCATTGTTATTTTTTCACTTTTAGGGTTAAAAGGGTTTCAGGGTTCTGTATCCCCCCTCTCCTCTGCTTGGATATACATGTCTGCTGTTAGGGTATCATTGGCAATATTTACAAAAGGCAATTAAGTAAATATTTATGATACTGACTGCAATGTATGACAGATTGATTGCGAAATGAATCAAGTTTTCTCGCAGAATTTTCTCAGTTCGAGAAACATACATACACTCATGAAGATTCTTCATTATATAATTTCTTTAAGTATAACGTAGGTCTCTAATATTTGGTGGCAACAATTTGAAAAGTGAAAACCCGTTTATAGTGAACTAACGCAAAATGCCAAAACGAAGTTAATAACGCTTTCGGGATAACGTCATTTGGGCTAAAAAGCCCAAAGGGCTGAAGCTTTCAGATTTTATACTATGCTTAAACGTGCGTCGCTTTTTTTTTACTTTCATTTACAAACACATACAGGTTTCAAGAGCACTTGGGCTAATTCCAC